ATTTGTATTACGATACTAAAGAGAATGTAATTAGAGGACATAAGCAAAGTGGTGGTATCAACTTTAGATATTGTCAAATATCTTAAAGATGTATTAAGAAATAAGCTTGGGGTATTTATAAATTTTTGTGTTGATGTATGATGTTGCCATCCTGTAAGGAGAATATGCATAAAGAAATTAAATGCTAATTGTAAAAATGGATTACATAGGATTAACTAGGGAAAATAGTCCCATAAAACTAAGAAATAAGATTGTGTTCATTCTATATTTTGAGTATTTGAAATCAGTGATGGTCTGATTTTTAATATTTGAAAAACATATAAACGTCTGACATAGTATTTTGCTGTAAGCATATCATCTGTTCATTCCGGACAAGGTACTAAGGAATTCCTGTACTCATATTTTTTGCATCTTACTATGACATATCTTTCAGATGAAGGATTCAGTTTTAATCCATTAAAAATAGAAGTGTTTGTACAGACTCTGCTCCACTTGGCAGCCAAATCATTCAGCCACTCCTTCAGTGCTCTTGCCAAGTAAGTGCGACAGCAGCACCTAGCCTTTCTTGAACATTTGAAACTTTGCTTGCTAATGTTCATCAGGGATACAGTGATACTTAAAATTGTTTTAATCTGAGGTTCACAATGTATGATTTGTTGCAGTGGGCTTTGGTTTGTGTATGTACAGTATACATACACAAAGTGTGCTTTTTCATGCAGGCATTTAGAGAAATGATGAAAAGTTGGTTCCTTGGGACAATCATATCTGTCCAGGCATCCTCTCAAAGGAGGGTAAGCAGAGATGAGAGCCCTGCCCTGTTGGGGCAGCCACACCAAGGGTGGCATCTCATCCCATCTCTGAATCCAAGGCTTTGTCTAGGTTTTCTGCAGGGTTACAGCTTAGAGTAAAAGCAAGCACTTCACAATTGCAGACAGCTTCTTTTCTTCTTTCTTTCAAATTTATCTATTTTTATTGGAAAGTCAGATTTACAGAGACAGGAAAATCTTCCATAAACTGTTTCACTCCCTAAATGGTTGCATTGGCCGCAGCTCAGGAGCCAGGCCTGAAGCCAGGAGCTTCTTCCTGGTCTCCCAAGTTGTGCAGGATCCCAAGGCTTTGGATGATCCTCTACTGCTTTCCCAGACCACGAACAGGGAGCTGGAAGTGAAGTAGAGCAGCTGGAATGCAAACTAGCATCCACATGGGATCCTGGCACATGCAAGGCGAGGATTTAGCCACTAGGCCACCGTGCCAGGCCCTGAAGACATTTTTCTTAACTTTTACTTACCCTTGGATCCTGGACTTGTGCTATGCTGTGAATTTCTTATCTTTGATAACTTGTTAATACTTGATTGTCTTAAAAATTAAATAACTGAATAAAATGCTTCATGAATAAATATGTTTTTACTCTATCATAAAAGGTTTCATGAAGTCTTCAAAACGCTAGCAGAAAGTGATGAAGGAAAGTTGCATGTGCTGAGAGTTATGTTTGAGGTTTGGAGGAACCATCCACAGGTAAACATTAATTTTGAAAAATGTTGGCTCCCTGATTTTATCAGTATAAAAACTAGGCGATTTGTTACCTTTGTTTTAGTTTATAAAACATAAAATTTGAGTATGCCTTAGAATGACTGTTCAGTCTGTAACATTTTATGGATGTAGGATTAGTAATTCATTTCTTATGGAGCAAGTAGGATTTGTTTTTGAACTGTCATACTTCAGCACATTGCAAATGGTTAAGAATGTTTTTACTCTAGGATTGTACCCATTTGGTAGGAAATTATCATCAAAACAACTTGTCAATAGTTTTAGTAATCTCCAAATGTCTCGAGCTTCAGTAATTTTTAATACTTTGTATTGTAAAAAGGCATTGAAATGTTCCCAAACAGACTTTATGATAATTTTAACTTTTTGTGTTGGTTGATGTTACAAGCATGTACATTGTATAGTATTATATATATGTTATATATTTATTTTTAATTTAGGTGTTGCCATTTAGGGCTTCTCTTCAATTCAGTCTTTATTGATATGATAATATTTCTTATAGTACTAAAGCCAAGCAGAGGACAGAATAAATTTCAAGACCTAAATACAAACTGATTAATTCCATAGCCACTAAAATTAATTTTATAGCCCCTTTAACTTTTATAATAGTATTGTTTTTGGCATACATGCAAGTGTGACTTGCTTTAACTGTATTATAGATGATTGCTGTACTGGTAGATAAGATGATTCGTACACAGATTGTTGACTGTGCTGCAGTAGCAAATTGGATCTTCTCTTCAGAACTCTCTCGTGATTTTATCAGGTAATGGGAACGATGTTGTGTCTCATACATAAACTACAAATTCTGGTCCAAACTAGGTAGGATCAGTACACTAGTGGTCCAGTCTGGTAGGACTGAATTTAGCAGATTCCTGGCTAATGAAAATATCCATAGACAGTTATGTTGCAGTAACTCTTCAAATCATGCTTGTAAATCGAATGCAGACTGAACCAGTCAGGTAGAAGTGTTGTGGTTTGTGGAAGAATCTGAATTTTTGGAAGAGAAGACCTGGCAGAGCTGGCCATGTGTTGGAGTCTCTGCAAGGCCAGATGGACTTGGGAAGGTTCCTGCCTCATTAGGAATCAGACCTAGGATGCATCCCAAGAGCTCAGAATTGTGATAGATTACACAACAGGGTGGGCGAGGCAAAGCATCGACCCTGATGTTTGTGGGGGCACAGGGGCTTTGTCTTCTTGGTCATGAGATCCTAGATTTAATACAGTAGATTTATTGTACAGCTATTCCCCACAAAGACACAGAATTTCTCACTAAGTTTTGTCCTTATTTGTGAAATTTCTCAAACTTTAGAATCGGTTGAAACTGAGATAGATGATAGAACAAATGTTGCTGGAGAAATAAGACTGATTTACCAACAGCCCAGAATGATTAGCTTATGAAGTAGGCTTTTGACTCTGTAGTTGAGTCACCACTTGGGATGCCTGCACCACAAGTCAGAGTGCCTGGGTTTTAATCCCTGCTCTGGTTCAGTTCATCTCCTGCTGAGGAGTGCTTGGGAAGCAGCAGGTCCTTGGGCTCAGGTCCTTGGGTCCTTGTGATGCAGGCTGAATCCTGGTTCAGCCTCAACTGCTGGCAGGTACTTGGAGAATGCACCAGGAAATTGAAGACTGTCAGTTTCTCTGTGTCTTTCAAATAAAATGAAAATAGTTTTTAAAAATGAATAGGTTATTAAAGTTTTATTATCTACAACTTAATGTATTAATCAAATGCCTTGTTTTGCTTTAAGATTGTTTGTTTGGGAAATCTTGCATTCCACAATTCGAAAAATGAATAAACACGTTCTAAAGATCCAGAAGGAGCTAGAAGAAGCTAAAGAGAAACTCGCAAGGCAACATAAACGCGTAAGACTTGTTTAATTCATGAGTGTTTCAGAAAGGTGTACTAGAAGTGTTGGGAATACTCAAGATCCAGCAGTAGCTTGATGATGATAAAGCTGTTTTTTTGTTTTGTTTAAGATTGATTTGTTTGTTTATTGCAAAGTCAGATATATACAAAGAGGAGGAGAGACAGAGAGGAAGATCTTCTGTCCGATTATTCACTCCCAAGGTGAGCACAATGGCCAGAACCAATTCTGATCCAAAGGCAGAAGATTCTGGGTCTCCTACACGGGTGCAGGGTCCCAAGGCTTTGGGCCGTCCTCGACTACTTTCCCAGGCCACAAGCAGGGAGCTAGATGGGAAGTGGGGCTGCCGGGGTTAGAACCGGCTCCCATATGGGATCCCAGCATGTTCAAGGCAATGACTATCTGCTAGGCTACTGCGCCAGGCCCTAAAGCTGCTTTCTTGAGGCTTGATTATGTAAAGCTGTTTACAGAAACAGGTGGAGAAAGAAGCAGGTAGTCTGTTGTAAGGTGAACCTGTTAAGGAAGCTACAGATTTTACTTCTCCATAACCTACCATTTCAGAATCATTTTCTTGTTAGTACTTCTAAAAGAGGAAGAGAAGGGATGAATGTGGTTGTATTTCTGAGAAATCTCTGAGCAGGGGAAGACGAGATGCCGATCATTTTCCCAGTACTATGTGGAATGATGAAGCAGTTAGTCCCATGTTGACCAACTATTACGAATAGTAGTAAGAACTTTAGTATTTAGCCATGTCGGTGAGACGTGGTATGCTGGCTGCATTCTTTGACTTCACTTGACCAGATTTCCTCACATTATGTGTATTTACCAGAGTGATATGAACCTATAGCTGGTGTGAGTACCAGTCTGTGTGTGGACTTGGGAATACACATGCATTTAGGGTATAATATACGTTATCCAATGTTCAGTAGCTGCATGCAGCTCATAGTTCCAGTAACAGCATGGGTTTACACTATGTCCACGGCGGCAGAAAGTTCCAGTGATTGATGCCATCAGATTGATGCCAGCAGATTCTGGTTACTACATGTCAGTCATAGCCATTTCTACATAGGATGAGGACTAGCAGCTCTGACTCATGCTCTGTATAAGGGCCAGCCCAGCTTTTCCGTCTGGTCCGTTAGGGGCTGGAAGGTAAGCAAGCCGCCTCCCTTTGCTGTGTAGATGATCAAATGATGATGATGTCATAGCCAGCACCTCCACATTATTACCACGAGAAGAGCCTCTGCCTTTCCCTGGCCCCAGTAAGTACCTGTAGAACTTCTGAACCACAGCAAGTCTCTGAGGTGTACATGTGTGTATTGAGACTCCAGAACACACATCTGTAAGAATCATTTGATCAGATACACTACAGTCCTTCCCCTTGCTCCTGGAATTAATATGCTGGAATCCTAAATGCTGTTTTGCTTTGTCTTTTACAGCGAAGTGATGATGATGACAGAGGCAGTGATAGGAAAGATGGGGCGCTGGAGGAGCAAATAGAGAGACTGCAGGAGAAGGTAGAATCTGCTCAGAGTGAGCAGAAGAACCTCTTCCTCGTCATATTTCAGGTACCTTGGCGTAAAAGCAAGTGTTACGTTTCTTTTAAAATATCTTTAATCACAAAGTACATAATTTACATAAGTTTTAAAATACAAAAATTTATAAAGACTAAGTATTCATCACTTGAACACCAACATGTCTCCCGAGTGCTGTGCTATCAGTTTGTACTGTGGCATGAGGTGTTTCTCCATGCTGTAAAAGCAGCTCGGGGTTGCTTCTCTTGGACTCTTGCCTCGTGTTTAATGATTATTCCCTGTTGATTATTACATGCTTCTTTTTTTCTTCCCTGACATATGTTTGTGCCTAGGTTGCCGGAACATTTCTGATTATTTCCTTAGAATAGATGCCATGAAATACTGTTAATCACAAAAGCAGTTTAAATATTGAAGCTCTTTATGTACTTTTAACAAATGTGTCCGCTCACATTCTTACCGCCTTTCTAGATGGAAGGTGTCTCATGATTTAAAGACGGGGAAACAAGTAATCCTTTGAGGTCCTCTTGTTTTGAGTTTGTGTCTGGTGGACGATGGTCTCTCTTAACACTTCTTTAACCCTGTCCACCCTTTCCAGCGCTTTATCATGATCTTGACTGAACATCTGGTGAGGTGCGAGACTGACGGGACCAGTGTACTGACACCATGGTATAAGAACTGCATAGAAAGGCTCCAGCAGATCTTCCTTCAGGTTTGTGGGGAACTTTGATTAGGTAGATCATTGACGCCTCTGCTAAGAATATTCTTGTTAAACTGGTCAGGGTTTGACTGAGGGGCTGTAGACATTTTAGATCATGTCATTCTGCTGCTGCCATTGCTCATCAGAATGTTTAAGTGACACAGAACTAATTAAACCTAGGCTTGTGGTTGCCATTTCCTGTGTTGGATCTGAATGTAGGTGAAAGCCAGTGCCAAGAAACGAGGTGACCTCTGTGCATAAGCACTATAGGTGGCAGAACCCTCATTTTTGTCTACTGTCTATTCTGGGCAAGACCCATCTGATGCCTGGGACTCGGTCTGGGTCTCCTGAGTGGGCTGTAGTACTTGAGCCATTGCCAGCTTGCTTCCCAGGGTGCACGTTATCAGCAGGAAGCTGGAATTGGAAGCAGAGCTGGGCCATGAACCTCAGCTCTGTAATACAGGACTTGGGCTCCCAGACTGCAACTTAAGGATCACGCCAAACACCCATCCCTTAGTTGTCCATGTAAAATAAGCTGGCACTGCAATCTCCAAGTGTATTTGGGTCTGTAGAGGAGCACCTAATAAAAGAACAGTCCATTTTCTGGCATTTTTTTCTCTTCCTATGTCCATTCCTGTCTACCTGGCTTTTTGTTGGTGGAGTAGTGGTGTTAATGTATAGGGCAGAACCCAGTTGACCTTGACTCTAGTCTGCAGCAGCAGCAAGCAGGTGTTACTGCTGCTACTTGAATTATGAACTACATTTGCCTAGATGCCGATTCACTACTGAACCAGCCCTGAACATCCATGTGCCTAACTTCCTCCTGTATTTTCTTGACATCAAGCTTCTCTGGAGCCCACTATTCCTATGGGCATGATCTCCATTAAACCTCCTCCCTGCAGTGGGTGTGGGCTGCTGAAGGGTGCTCTGCCACTTCCGACCTAACTCTGTGTCTTCCGGCCTTCTCTGTGTCTGCAGCACCACCAGATCATCCAGCAGTACATGGTGACCCTGGAGAACCTGCTCTTCACCGCTGAGCTAGACCCTCATATCCTTGCCGTGTTCCAGCAGTTCTGTGCCCTGCAGGCCTAATGGTCCATTTTTTCCCATCAGGATTTTTTAAGTATTTTAAAATAATTTGTTTTATTTTTACTGGTTTAAATGCTTGCTTTCTTGTAGTATCCTTTCCCCCTTATGGGAAACAAAGGGGAAGAGAGAGAATGAGGAATGACATTAACTTGAATTGCCCCTAAACAGCAAATATTTCCTGATGACAGTGTGATGATGACCATTATGTATTATATAGGTGACGTAACTTTTCTGTAATCAATTTGGTATTTTCTCCTTAAGGCACCAGATGTGAGGTATGTGGAACACAAGAGGTCAAGCTTACAACGTAGCCTAGAGAACTGATGGGTTTATCACCAGGTAGTGTAGCTTTTCACAGCTCATGGATAACCTAACATGGCTGAAATAAAACTAGAAGTATGTTTTTTAAACTTTGGTATTTCATGACTTATCTCAGTCTGTTTTGAAATTGGTGGTGTCTCATGAAAATGAACTTAGCCCTCCCTTAGAATATTCTCTTCAAAGCATTTTTACTATCTTAAGATACTACTTGCAGTATAAATGCTTTTTAATATATCAGCTACTTCCAATTTTACTTGAAAATAAGTCATCTAGAAATCTTAAGTTGTGCAATGTGAACAACTTGGTGGGAAGGGTCGATCCAGGCTTGACACTTGGAGCATCTTGACACTTCTTGGAGCCTCTCAGAGGAAGTCCCAAGGTCATATGGTGAGTTACCTGCTGGTGTGGAACAGTGAGGCCAGACTGGCTAAAACTGTTTGAAGTTAGGTGTGGGTTGTATTTTTGGAGAACCTGGTCCAGATGACTAGTTTCTGAGCCTGCTGAGTGTAGTCTTAAAATACAAATGTAAAGATTTTAGACTTTACCTATTAAATCTTTAATATTATTGATATTCTTTTCCTATCATAAATTTATAATGATTTAAGGATTTTTCCATATTTTGATAGTCTGAAATTATCTTGGAGCAGGTAGGGATTTCTGAAGGTTAAGGCTGCCTGGCAAGTAACAAGCAGAGAAAGAGCTAAAACCCTGGTTCTTGACCAAAATATTCTCTTATTTATGTTGTTTCTCCTTATCCTTGTTTAAACACAAGGTGGAATAGTGATCGGCCTCAGTCAGTGAATACCTCTGATGAAGATGGTAACTGTTGGACCTGCTTTTAAGGCAAAGCAGGGCTAATTAGAAACAGGTCTGTGAGCAGGCCACGCAGCAGCTGCTTTCCCTTTGAACAAAGCTCACCACAGACAAAATGACAGCAGGTCACATCATACCATGCAGTAAAAACATCGCACTGATGTCAGTTACCAGGCTTGTCATGTGAGTGTATTCACTCTTCTAGAATTATACCTAAAAATGGAAGAGGTAGAAACACTTGTCAATCTGCATAGAGCAAATTGAGACAGTTACGCCCATTTTTCAGATAAAAATAGGATGCTGTAGTAGAAACTTACTCAAGGCCCACAGCCAGTGGAACTGGGGCTAGAGCCCTCTGGCTATGAGCCACTTAGTCCCAAATGTAGTCACGCTTTTTGGAAAATCTTGCTACATATTCCAAATCAAACATTCTAATACTTAGCATTGTACATACTTCAAGGAGATCAACACTTGAAATTATATTAGACATTTCTGTATTTATGTGGATTCAGTGAACAATTTCATTATAGACTCAAGTGCTTAATTATTCCCATTCAACTTCTTTCTCCAAACATCATGTCTTAACAGCTGCTCTACAGCAAAATACAAATGAGTAAACTTGATTGTTTTTTTTGGTAGCGGGTTAAAAAGTCATGTCCAACACAGTTTGGCAGCTCACAGTTGATCTTAACTCGGATTTTGTTTTTAAAAATCCTACACCTTGTTATAGTCAAAAGCTAGTTTATAATCAATACTTCTGACAAGGGTAAAAATGCACTAGCTGACATTGACCCAAATGCCTGGAGTGATGTGTGATAGTGGGGGTCTCCCTTGCTTCCCCTAGAATTGCAGTTGAAGGCACAAGCATAGTGCTTGCCTGGTAAGTGGTCAGTACTCCGTAATGTCAGTAGTACTGAATGGGCTTAATCGCTTCCTCTGATCCATCATTAGTCAGTTTTGAAAATAGCCTTTTCCCATTGTTCTCTGGCATTTGAGAGGGGCTCTCTAGATACTAGTGTTAAGGCTGATAGTGCTAGCCCCAATGGTTTAAAGACATGACTCGACAACTCAGTGTTTATTCCAAGCTGTCAGGACTTTTTCCTACCGATAGCTCCCCCATTGCCTCCATTTATTAGAACTAGTCCTTATAACCTGATCTAAACTCTGGGTACAAGTGGAATACCACCATCCCTGTTTGTTTCTTTTGCTGAGAGCATAGTTCAGCCAGCTTTGGCTTTTACTACATAGGACAGAGTTTGCTTTGGTCTGACATTCTTTAATTTTTCTCTGAAGAAATGAACTTTTGAACCTATTCTACCACTCAGCTCCCATCTTTGCTTCTGGAAAAATTAATCCTAGCACCAATGTTCAGCTCAGAACCAGGCCAACAGACCCCAGCTGAAACTTGTCCTCAGGCCACACAGATGTAACTATTGTCAAGGCATCATTTATACTGTTTCATTCATAAAGGCATTATGTGCTGGTAACTCTACAGAACCAAATTTCCCTTATTTAAATATAAAGTTATGTTTAACAAAAGTCACTGACCTAAAAATCACATTTTTTCGTAATTCAGTTCATGGCCACAGAGAGTACAGCTCTTCCGGTACATGTCGTCTTCTATGTGTTCTTCAGGTCCATACTCGTGTTGATGAGCAGCTGTTTCCCTTTTCCACACACTGCTTCTTACTGCTCGCCGCAGTTCTGGGGGGCGGGGGGGAACACAAGTGTCTCAGTGGTGTGCTACTGTAACAAATCGAAGTTGATGATACAGACTTTTGACCTAGGAAATCATTCAGGTCATTGTTGAAGCAGTGTGAACTGCCAGATTCAGAAATGGGTCTGTGGGTGAGAGAGCCAAGCAGTGACAACCCCGATCCAGAAGTGCGAGGAGGAACAGCACCAGCAGGTAGGTCCATTTGGCTTTGGAAAACAAGTTGCCACTGCAGAAGAGTGGATCCATGGGGCTTGCTAAGAGGAGTGCCCTTCAGGGTCTCGGTTTACAAGTCAGGACCTGTTTAAGAGGCAGAGCAAGCTTTGCTTTGAAGAACACTAGCGAGCCAAAACTGTACTACCACCTGTTGGTTTCCATCTTAGCAGACTGCTCCTCAACAAGCTGTAAGTCTGTTAATTGTGTTCATCACATCACCCATACAAAATCACCATCACACCAGAAATCAATTTCAGCCTTTGTTATATCACGAAAATAAAAGCAAGCATATGGCTGTGGGTATCAGGCAGTGTTCCAGGCATTTTTCAATGCATTTAACCATCACAGCCCTTTTAGGCAAGTACCTGTATCCTCCCAGTTTTATGTACAAGAAGAGCACAAAGTAGCTAAAGCTTTCCTGAGGTCTAACAGGTGGTAGAAGCAGAAGTGCACTCCAGCTTGGGTCCACACTCCTAGCCACCAAGCTGGGCTGCCGTTACCATGCTGCTAGCATGAGCAGCACTTGGAGGTGATGTCCATGCTTCAGGGTATATCCTGGATAGTTCTGCAACAAACCTGAGGGAAAATGATGCTCACTCACACCTGAATATCTTCTCAGTCTCCTCTCAGATACCCTGAAGAACTACCCAGACTGCCCTCTGATCTTAGGGTGTTTTATAACGAGAGGAATCAAGCTGCCTAGAAAAGCTCCTGGTTGCAGATAGTGGCAGGAAAGGCTTCCCTGTCTTGACCTCCCAATTCCTGCTTTTCAGCATGCTTCTGATGGAACGTATGCTGGTCACTTCCCCTGATCTCCGCACCAATAAAAGCCCCAAGATCTGACTGCCGCTCAGTCATGCTAACTTCTGCCTGAATTATATAGAGAAGAACAATGGAAACACACAGAAGTTATGCTTCCTTGGCATAACTAAAGCTAAGGTTTACACTGGCTGCCTTATTCTTATCCTTTAGTTAATCTGTCAAGCTACAATGATAAGAACAAAATAGACATTCCTGAAAAGGGTCCAGAGTGTTTCAGAGATTTAGAATACTTGGAATTTTGACTTTTCTTATTGAGGTGCTTGGTCTAAAAAATGGGTTGTGTTGCCTTTCTTTTCCTTTCACAACAATCTGATGCTAAAATCAGTAAATGAACCAAGCAGGCATCTGTGTCAGGATGGAGAGCACCCCCAGAAGAGGCTGCAGCAGTGACGGGAAGTCGGCCACACAGGCTCTGAGGCACTAGAAGACAGGATGCATTGTCACTGGTGTGTTACTTAAACATTAATTTTTCTCTGAACCATGTGAAAGTGAGTTGCATTCATCACTCCCTAGCACAGTCTAGCACAGTGCCAGCAGGTCAATCTACATAACAGCTGGTTCTTGAAAATATTGCAAAGATATTTGCGAAAATACTGCAAAGTTTAAAATTAGTTCCAAGTTAAAAACTTTAAAATGGGAACTAGCTTGAAGGGGATTGCACCAGCCAAATTGGGGACAACTGGCATCAGAAGAAATAATGAATTGTAATGACCTAAAACTCCATGTGGTAAACTAACAAATTTTTTTCTGAAGTGGAATAAGAGCTCTTTCAAAGAAAGCCAAGTAATAATTACAAACAGCATGGCAGAAATGGAAAAACTCATTTATATATCTAGCTGGGTCAGGTAAGACTCGGTGTCACACTTGTTACTTCCTTTAGAGGGGAAAGGGTGCTTCACTAATGGGGAGACTGGGCAGACAGCACTTCACACACAGGCCCACTGATCATACTCCCTTCGGGGATAGCAGAGATGGAGGTGACAGATTCTGTGTTCTACAGCACAGGGTAACCAAGGCTTAGCACAAGAATAAATAAGGAGATGGAAATGCTAAGTACCCTGATTCATTGAAAATGTATGCGTAGATTATTACACCACACTCCATAGAAACATGCACAGTAAGGCTTCAATTAAAAATAAATAAATAAACTGGTGCCATGTATTTCCTAATATGGTTAACGCAGACAATATCACCTAGGACACCAAAAATTTTAAACCCAAACCATGAGGTGACAAGCTGCTGACAAACCTAAATATAAGCACTACAGACCTTTGAGAAAAGGGGGCTGACGGACTAGATCCAGACTAGCAGGGTGCCAGTTGGGACACCCACTGAGGGTTTTGTAAAGTCAAGTCCCAGTTGCATAAGTACAAAACTCAGTGGGCCCTGGATCCAACAACTAAAGCTAAGTGGTGACCATTCAGTATAGTCATACACTAGATGGAAATTTGATAAATGATGTTGAGTGTGAACATCAACTGTTACACAGAAGTACAGGAATCACTGTGTGCAGGTAACTTCTGAATGCTGCACAATTGTGCTATAAATAAGAAATATGGCCAAATGCCACCATGTAATATATCAAAAAATTTCAAAGATTTTTTTTCCCCCAGTACTTCATTGAAGAACCTCCGCTTCCTGGATGAAGGGCTCAGGGCTTCTGGGATCCAGAAGAGCCTATTTGTGTTCCAGCACCACATGGCTACTGCTCTAGTAGGAGCACTGCCTGGTACACGGCTGACACTTGATAACTGGATGAATGGGTGAATGTGGGTAAATGAATAAAGAGACAGATAAACAGGCACAGGGAAGAGATGCACAGGTGGACAGGTCACTGCAATTGATTTCAGTCAAGAAAGCCTCATTCCAGCTCTGCCAATAACTTCATACAAGTCACTCCCACTTTCTGGGTCTCCTAGTCATACATGCAGTAAAGGTAGGGCACGAGTCACACACAACAGTTAAGATCTCACTTAGGGTCCACCTCCCAGATCACAGTCCCTGGGTTCTACTACTCTTCTGGTTACAGCATCCTGCTAATGAGTGCTCTGGGCGGCAGCCCTGTGGGGACAGCTCAGGTCCTTGGGTCCCTGCCACCAAGGTCTCCTGAGAGACAGATTGAGTTCCAAGCACCTGTCTTGGGCTAGGACTAGCTCAGCCTTAGGTCTTGCAGGCAACTGGGGAGTGAATCAGTGCACAGAAGATCTTACTACCCTTTAGACAAAATGAAAATTTAATAAATTGCCTGGTAAATATATTTTAAAGCTGTGACTGGACTCAACACTAAAGTTGCCAGGCAAGACAGCGAAGATACCTGTTTCTGGTAACTGCAGATATTTAAGATTTAACTGATGCCAAGTCCCTGCCCAAGTATACCATAGCCCATCTTAACACTGTTCCTATATAAAACATGGTTCGCTTTAAGGTGGTAGCTTAGACTGTCCAGAATGGCAGTCCTATGAGGTGTGCAATGAGACGCATCAGCTGACCTGAAGTCACTTCACCTGGGCAAAACCATGTTCCAGTCTTCTGGCAACAATCTGAATGGTTTTTAATACAGTTGTAAAAATCTTCCATGACCCAAAGTGTTGCCACTCACCTTTTACTTTTTTATCAAACTTCTTCTGTCTCATTTTTTCTCGGTTTTCCTGTCGAACTTCCTTAGCAGCTTCTAGTGCTTCCTGGCTGCCCCAGACTTCCAGCGCCCTCTGCACAATCTGCAATATGGGAGCCACATTAAACATGCTGGACATAGATTCGCAGGACACGCTAACAGCAAGGCCTGGCTACTGAAGAGTACGCTAGGTTAAGTACAGGTTTAATTTACTTGAGGTTTTAAATAATACTAAGAAATCAGTGACACCCTGCAGCACATGTACACTGAGTGAACGTATAAACAGAAGTGTCCAGTAACAGGAGCAATAGTGAGTGGTGATCGTGATGAATTTGGCAGACGCATTATCTGTTGACAGATGAGCATATTAGACATAAACAAGGCCATAGCCAAAAACATACAACCTCAGGAAATACTAATTACTCCTCTCCTTCTGGGTCAGTAATTGCTTCTAGCCACCTGAGACTAAATTTTGATCAACAGAACATGTTCTTAACACCAGGATACCTGAATGACCTAGAAAGTCTCCATCTTAGTTAAAAACCTTTGGATTACTCTCTTTATAATACTTATGTACATTTTAAGAGGGTAATTCACATAACCACCATGACTCTCACAATATATAAACGGAACCAGAACACCCATCAGTGTAGCTAAACTTACACTCCTTCTTAATATTAAGTGATATGCTTCACATTGTCCACAATGGAACATCCAAAAATGCCACATCTCCATTGCACTTAATGCATGGTACTTTCACAACTCAAGTCAGGAACTGACTCCCAGGACTGGCTTCTGAATACAATTTAGGAATTCTAAATCATAACTGTTTTAGTTAATGAAATTCAGTACAGGTGTTCTACAATGTTTTTGTTTAATTTCATTTAAAGATCTAATATCTGCTAGTGTGTTCCAATCCAAACTGTTCCACAGAAATACCTTCTGATGACTACAAGGACAAAAAAAATACTAAAGTGTTTGTACCTTGCTAAGCCAAGTCCACGGGCTGCCTGTGCTGCTAACACCTGGCCAGGGCACCCCAGGCTCAGCAGGGAACCTTGTGGGCACCTGCAGCCAGAGAAGAGGAGCAAAATGGCCAAACAGTGAGGGGCCTTCCCAAAGTTCATGGGAGATGCACGAGGGGCGTGATGTGAGGCGTTTCTGCACCAGAATGATTGTTCCTGTCATTTCCAATATGCACACACTTTCTGAAATCCCCTCCAGACACTAAATAGCATTCTGGGCAGGGATTTTCTAAGCAGCATGAAAACAGGCATTTGTGAAATGCCTAGGACCTTTTAAGTAGTTCTTTGGGGGCAGGAGGTTAAGGGAAACTGAGGCTGACTCCAGTTCCAAACTCAAGTTTCTACAATGTTCTGCTCATAGTCTAGTGACATCTATCCCACAATGCCATACCTAAAAGCAAAACACAAAAATGTTTCTGTTATCATTGTACAAGGCTGTGACTGGTTCACACGCAAAGCAAGAAAATCTTATTATCTCTCAGCAAAAACTAATTTACAACCATCACCTGAACCACGGTTAAAATTAATGAACAAAACTTCTTGGGGACCTGTAATTTTAAGTAGAGTTTCATGTCACCCCACTGTGAATGACGAGGATTCTTCTTCACGATAAACTTCAGAGCTGGTTCTCTTTTTTCTAGATCACAATCTTTGAGAAGGTACTCCTGTTTGGCTTCTGTTTTGGTTATAAGCTTGTGCTTCTCCTCAGCATCTCTGAAAAACACAAAGTCCATCATAGACATTAGTTATTGTAAATAAACAGTATTCAAGCAGCCCTGCACCTGTGGGGCACATGCAGCTCACAGGGAACAGACATGGTTTCCTGCAACTCACAGTCAAAAAATCTAACAGAAAAACACCTGCGTCTACTCCTGAGAAGTTACATGACAGACTCGTCATTAACAACACTTCTTCAAGGCCCTCTTATTCCATAAGGCATTTGGAAAGATTTATAAGGGTAGAGGAAATGTAAATGCAAAGAAGTGCTCAGAAAATCTAAATCAAAGCCCAGCAGGGCAGGAAGACACACATGCAAGGTCCAGGCGCCCACAGCACTGAATTGCCAGCTAGCTCCGAACTAAAGGCCAACATGGAGGTACAGTCACGTGGTCCTCCTCTGTTTCCCACCGACCTGCCAAGCACAAGGCACACAGCAGAGAGCTGGGCATGCCTCGCTTTAGCAACACTTTCCTTCCAGTCAACAGAAGGCAGGCCAAAACATGGCAATAGCAGGTCAAAGTGCTACAAGGAATGTGAAGATTGGTAATGAAACATTTTCTACCCAGGCTGGGTGACCAGAGAAGTCCACAGATGGGACATTTTAGCAATCTGAGCAGCTACAGAAAACACTTGTAGCAGAGGGCAAACGGGTGCAAGGGCCCTGGGGCAGGAGCCTGCCTGGCACCTGGAGCTCACAGCACAGGGCTGGTGTAACTAGAGCACTTCCAAGACACAACAGAGAGGCGCTGTGATCCTGGAAGCCATGGAGGAGACCCTTTCATTCTAAATGGGATTAGGAGCCACTTCCACAAAGATGGGAGCAAAATGCTACAGGCAGAGGGGAACAGGGGTGCAGAAGCAGAGTCTGAACACTCCTGCAGTGGTCCTGATGAGATGATGGTGGCAAGACAGGAAGTAGGTGGATTCAACACTGGCTTGAGCATGGAATTAGACATGGGATATAGTAAAGACAGCAAATGAATGATCCTCACTGTAACAGGAAATGCTGAAAAATAAATATATGTCAGGGAGGGAAGAACTTGGTTTCTATCACAAAACCCCAGGGTTTAAAACTGGCAGAAATGGAAACAGATGAATTACACAGAAATATAAAATGGGGGGGGGGACTACGACACATGGACCATACTTCACTATCACTGATCTTCAGAGCTTAATGGAGACAATGGAGGGCTTTATTCCTAGTCACACACCAATGTGTCTTCCAACCACTTAACAACTTTCTCTAAACTGACACCATAGTTGCTTTATTTATGGAAGTAAAATTACATGTGGTGCCTCAGTTCCTCAAAGCTACAGTGGTTTTTCTGCCTTATTTGAAAGACAAAGAGACAGAGATGCTTCACTCCCCAAATGCTCCCAACAGCCAGGGCTGAGCCAAGTGAAGCCAGGAGCCTGGGAGTCCATCCATGTGGGTGGCAGGGACCCAAGCACCTAAAGCATCAACTACCACCTCTCAGGGTGCACTTTAGCAAGAAGTGAATCAGAAATGGAGGAGCCAGGACTTCAACCAGGCGCTCTGATGGGATATGGGTGTTCCAGACAGGGTATTCACCCCTGTGCCAAATGCCCACCCCCAGTGGTCTTTAGGAGAGACAGCAACCCCAAGGGCCTGAATCACCATGTCAGCAGGAAATGAGGTTTTAACTGTTTTAATTGCAGTGCCAGAACATTCCAGCCACATACATGAGCATGAGGTCAGGGACAACAGCTCCCATTGTTCTATCAGGACTCCCACTAAGCCATAAGCCGATGATGGCTCCAAGGGCTGCGGTAGGGACTATGCAATGAGGACTCCTCTAGGCAGGTGGAGTGGACCCAGGACTTGATGAAGGAGGAAATGAGTGGCCCAGCACTGACACAGAGCTCTCAGAAAGAAGTGAGGGTGGGGAGGGCACCTGTTAAGAAATACACACACGGGCCCGGTGCGGTGGCACAAGTGGTTAAGGTCCTCACCTTGTATGCCCAGGATCCCATATGGGCGCCAATTCTATCCCGGCAGCCCCGTTTCCCTTCCAGCTCCCTGCCTGTGGCCTGGGAAAGCAGTCGAGGACGGCCCAAAGCTTTGGGACCCTGCACCCGCGTGGGAGACCCGGAAGAGGATCCTAGCTTCAGATCGGCATAGCATCGGCCGTTGTGCTCACTTGGGGAGTGAATCATCGGATGGAAGATCTTCCTCTCTGTCTCTCCTCTCTGTATATCCACCTTTCCAATAAAAATAATAAAAATAAATCTTTAAAGAAATACACACACCTCTGACATTCTGCCTTTTAAATAAACATCTTGATCAACAGGCTGTAGGCACAAAAATGGGGGCAGGGAACAGTGAAAAGGGCCAAGGAAGACTCCAAGGCAGGACCTTGCATGTGCCAGACACAGCATCTAGAGGCTTCACAGCAAACAGGCAAACCACGTGTAGTGAGCAGGATGCTTTCGGCAAAAGGAAAAGGAAATGAAGGCTAAGCTAAAAATAATGGCCAGAGGCGATTTCCTCATCTACTGGGCACCAGAAGTGAATGGAAGGCAGGTTCTGGAGGCCTCTCCTTCCCTCCAAGCCCCCAGTCCTCTGATCTAGACATCAGCACATGCTGGGATAAATCTGAGGCGAGGGGCTTCTCGGAGCAGGTAAAACAGACGGGTGAACGGAGTGAAACAGGAAAGGCCACCAGAGAGGCCACACCCCTGCCAGAGCCTTCCCAGCGCCAGGCAGTGCACACAGGCTACTAAACTGCTGGACAGGTCGGATGCCAGAGCCATGTCAGGAAACTCCAAGTCTGAATCACTAAGAAATTATCAAAAAGCACTGTTTTACCCCAAACTTACAGGCAACTTCAGCACCTGACAGGAAAAGCGTACCTGCAGTTGTCACACGTGGCCAAATCAAAGTGGCTCATGAGGTAGGAATCCATGAACTCCTTCCCACATTCTTCACATAACACATAGTCAAACTCCATCACGGGGCCTAGGCACAAGAAGAGCAGTTTATTAGGGCCTGTTCCTGTGGCTAGTTTGGCATCATTTATCTTAATCCTGACACAAACGTTTAAGGCAAGACCTAAAACCTTAATTATTAATTTCATGTTCATGGGGGGCGGGGAGAAAGGTCATCTAGGGAGAATCAATCAAGTCGGTCATTTGTGAACTCCACCTGTGTGCATGGTGCCCGTGTGTTACACTGCTGCTGTGAGACACTGCCAAAGGGAATGGCTTCAAACACCTTTCCTAGGCTGTCAGGGGTCCACGTGGGCGGGGCTGTCTCCCTCCCACATTCCCAGCTTGCAGAGTCCCCCACATCCTCTGACTTCGAGGCCAGACGCAAGAGCGTCTCACAGTCATGGCTCCCTCCTTCCACAGCCACAGGACCCTCCCTGCAGGGTCTGGGATTATACAGACCCACACAGCTAATCCAGGATAATTTCTCTCCATCCCAAGGCCCTTAACTTTCTCTGCCACCTGCAAAGTACTATTTGCAGGGTGGGATGCTATTTCTGGATTCACGGGCTGATGGGGGTATAAACCACATCTGGTAAATATGGTACAAAGGCAAGGGAGAAGAATCTGCTTACAGATGGGAGATAGGGCACCAACATGACACAGTCAAGAGCGATGCCAGCAGGAGCAGGCGTCTGGTAGAGTAGTTAAAATGCCCCTTGGGCAACCAAGAGCATTTGGTACAAATCTAGGTTCATCTACTTCCAATCCAGCTTCCTGCTACAGCTCACAATCAAATTGAGTTTTAAAAAAAGATTTAGGGCCCAGCACGACAGCCTAGTGGCTAAAGTCAGCGCCTTGAATGCACCAGGATCCCATATGAATGTCGGTTCTAATCCCGGCAGCTCCACTTCCCATCCAGCTCCCTGCTTATGGCCTGGGAAAGCAGCTGAGGACAGCCCAACGCCTTGGGACCCTGCACCCGTGTGGGAGACCTGGAGGAAGTTCCTGGCTCCTGGCTTCAGATTGGTGCAGCACCGGCCGTCCTGGTCACTTGGGGAGTGAATCATTGGATGGAAGACCTTCCTCTCTGTCTCTCCTCCTCTCTGCATATCTGACTTTGCAGATATAAATAAATAAAAATTTTATTTATTTTTATTAGAAAGGCAGATTTTACAAAGAGAATAAAGGCAGAGAGAAAGATCTTCCGTCTCTGGTTGACCAAATGGCTTCAAGAGCTCAGTGGCTAAATCCTCACCTTCCAAGCGCCAGAATCCCATATGGGCACTGATTCAAATCCCGGCAGCTCCACTTCCCATCCAGCTCCCTGCTTGTGGCCTGGGAAAGCAGCCGAGGACGGCCTAAAGCCTTGGGGCCCTGCACAATGTGGAAGACCCGGAAGAAGCTTCTGGCTCCTTGCTTCGGATTGGCTCAGTTCCGGCTATTGCGGCCACTTACGGAATGAACCAGCAGATGGAAGATCTGTCTCTCCTTATTTCTGTAAATCTGACTTTACATTAAAAATAAATATATCTTTAGAAAAAAGAAACAAAAACTACCCTTACTCTGAGGCTATGTTCATGCATAAGTGATTTACCAAAACATTAACTTTAGATAACAGAATATTCTTTATGCCCGGTCTCTTACATTTTGTAAGCTGCTTTTTTCTTTTCTTCAAACATAAGTAAAACAATGTCCCAGATTCTGTCTCTTGGGTTCTGGTCCCACTTTTCAGCCTGCCAGGATCATTCTGAGTAGCTGTGATTTTGCTCAACATTTTGGCCATCCCTGGCTCTTAGGAAAGAGCAGAGAGCAATCACCTCAGCACGCACCCCGCAGGATACACGAGCATTTCCACATGCAAGGGTGTCTCAGTATTTTTAATCTGACAAACCTGATTACTCTTCCAGCTAGTCTGGTCACTGATCAAATACATAAGCACGGCATTATCCAACAGCAACTTGTAAAGACCAATGCACGTGACCCAAAACAACCAATCTAGAGATTTATTTCCAAGAAAACACATCACCTGGTTGATGGACAATTTTTTCAACTTTATGTTCCTCTTCTTCCTCTTCCAAGATGAAGCCTCCTCCTGTGTCAATCACTTTGGGGGCCGCCTTTACATTAGCCACGCCTACAAAATGAAAAAGTCAATGAATGAACCAGGGGAGCCAATCGGATCTCCATGCATAAACACAAATTGACTTTAACATGTACATATCAAAAGACAAGGATGCCCACGGTCACCAGTACCTTCCATTCCTCTCTAAGGTGAGTGAAAGGGCAGGCACTGGTGACGAAAGGCGGAGAAGTTTCAGAGAGGAAACCAGAGGGCACAAGTGCTCCACTTTTTACCCATTCGAGAAAGTTCTGGGGATCCATAGTGGCGCTTGAGGCAAAAGGAACAAGACAGTAGAGAGGAAGAACTCGGTGAGCAGAGCAGGTACAAGGCACAGAAGTGCCACACGGCACAGAGTGCCAGGCAGAGCCAACTGCGGCCTGCGGGGCCAGGCGACACTCTGTAAGAGGTTTCTACCCAGCAAAGACCACAGACGACGTGTCACCTACGACAGGCAGGCATTTATCCACAGACAAAAGCTGCCAGGCCCCAGTGGCATGCCGGAAAGGTGTGGGGATAGAGAAGATGGAACAGCCTTTAGAAGTCAGCACCACCATTTGAGTACCCACCATCAGTAGCCACGCAGACAGGCAAGAACATGATGTACCCAGATTTTGAGATCCCCAGAAATCACCAGGAGTCTGAAGTCAATGCAGACGCATAAGCGAAGTTTATTCAGACTAGCGTGGGCTCCCAAACACCTCCAGCCCAGCGGGACTGGGAGAGGGCCTCGAGGCTGGACAGCGCAGGACATTTACACACTTCAGGCCAGTTCCACACAATTACACAGTCATGATTGGTCAGTTTATCCGTTAACTTTTAAAAAGAGCAAGTTGACAGGCTTCTGTTGGTGGGTTTGAAGCGAGCAACACTCAAATAGTACAAACTGGTGGGCTGGGGGTAGGGAGCAAGTCTTCTCTAAAAAGCACATCAGGGGTCTTCTTCCTGAGGAGTGCTCTGCCTAAGTGACCTGTCACAGATGTCACGACCTCTCAGATGTCACGTACGCTGTCAGGCCTGGAGTTCACACAGCTCCCCAGCCAAGCAAGCAAGGCAGAATCACAAAAGCAGAAAACACCGCAGTTAGCAAGAAGCAAAGGGCACGTGGTTGGGATCCTGACTGTGAGGTTTCTCAATGACTGAAGAGCAACCAAAGGACGGGGGTGGGGGAATGAAATCCAGCTTCCACGAAAATGATCTTTCCCCAAGGCAGAGAGAGCTGTCCAGCTGGTGAGCCACGGGAGGCCAGGTGACCACGGAGTTGGAGTCCTTCATTAGCTCATGCACTTCACCTGAGCAAACCCCATCATTAAACACCACGGCTGCCTTTTACTTTGCTGCCCTTTTCATTCTCCAGGATGGCTGCACCCATCAAATGCGATCATGAAAGAACCGTGAGGCGGCGCGGGTGCACCCACCGGCCAGGAAGGCGATAGCTCATGTCTGATTGCGCCCCTCTTCTGCAACTGGAAGACCCGCACTCGGTCGTCCGGAGGTGAAGAGAAGACTCAGGAGGCAGGATTATTGCTTAAATGAGTCACCAGGGGAAGTCTGGGGGCCTGGAGCAGCGCAGCAGGCTGGGGACAGACAGGGAAGGGTTGGAGGGGCCGAGGTGCGGGCAGGAGACCCCGGACGCCACCGCAGAACTGCCCTGGTCCTCACGGGGGTCCCTGCAGCCAGAGTCCCGGGACCCCGGGCGCGCGAGCCGCGTCGGGGATGGCCAGGGACGGGGGGGGGACAAGGGCTCAGACCTCCGGTCGCCGCTCCCGCCGCCGCCGGGTAGGGCCGGGTCGCCAGCCGGGCCTGGCGCAGCATCAGCGCCCGCTGCCGCTTCCGCTCTATGCTCGCCCGCACCGACGCGGGCAGCTCGGCCGCTTGCTCCGAAGCCGTCGGCTCGGGAGAAACTCCTTCCACCGCCGCCATCGCCAGGCTTCTCCGAGGACGCAGGCGCAGCGCGCTCCGAGGCGCGCCCACGGCTCCGCCTTGGCAACCCGGAAGCCTCGGGGAGAGATGCGCCTGCGGGCCGGCCGAGGGGGCGGAGCCTAGCGAGGCTGGGGCGGGGCCTACGGAGGTCGGGGGCAGGACCTAGCGAGGCTGGGGCGGAGCCTATGGAGGTCGGGGGCGGGACCTAGCGAGGCTGGGGCGGGGCCTAGCGAGGCTGGGGCGGGGCCTACAGGGGCAGGGCAGGCCTAGAGGGCGGGGCCTGGGCGTGCCTCATTTTTCAGCATCAGTTGGTCTTAGTTTCGCTTTGTGCTTCATAACAGAGGCTCTGGAATCGGACCGCGGTAAATCCTAGCGCTGACACCATCTGTGTGTCCGTGGACGTAATCAGAGATGTGCCAGCAGTAGCAGCCACAGTCGCGGATGTCCCAGCCCGTGCCCAATAGGTGACTGGCCAGGCTTTGTTCTGGACTCAGCATGGGAGGCGGAGCCTTCGGTTGAAGTGAGAGGACCTGAGTCTTGCAGTATGACCTCAAGCAGGTGCACCTGGGGAACTAAAGCTGTAAGGGGGTTACCTTCTCCATTCGGATATTCCTTCAGTGCCCAAGAGCTGCTGTCAGGTTTGGATCTAGGCAAAATGCCCTTTCTAAAAATTTTACAACTAGAACCAACCAGTAGGCAACTCTATGTAAAAAGCAAATGAAGGACCTAAACAGACCTTTTCCGAGATGAGCTGCTGCAGGTGGCCAGCAAGCACAGGGGAGGGTATTCACCATCAGTCATTAGAGAACACAAATCAAAAGCGCACAGGCTCAAGGGGGAAAAAAAGTATTACAAACTAACCTGTCATCCTGTCATTGCTACTGATGATAGTTTAAACACATTCCTACCAATACTAACAATATTTTTTACTAATTAGAAAACACTTCTAATTCATTTGGAATCTCTTCCATACTGATTCCATCACTGACATTCACACCAGCAATGCACAGAGCTTCAGCTCCTCTGGCCTTATCAGCATGTGTGTGTGTGTGGCTATTGTATAATAGACGTTGCTAGTGAATGTAAACAGAGATTTCATTGTGGCTGTCATTTGCATTTCCTTAGCATTAATGTTAAGGCCAGGATTCATCTCAAGGGTTGATCAGTCATCGGTATACCTTCTTGGTCTATTTTATTCTTTGACCGTTTTAAATGCTTTTTAAAAGCACACAGGGTCCAAGGACTTGGAAGGAAGACAGAGTTGGCAAGGATGCAGAAAGAAATCTCATACACTGTGGACAGGTATGCAAAATGGTGCAGCCTCGGCGAGAAATGGTTTGTTTCCACGAGAGCACAGCAACCACTGGATGTGCAGGTATACATGAAAGAGCTGAACCTTGCACCTGAACGTGCACAGCAGCACATCAACAACAGCCAGAAATGACCCAAGTGTCCAGCACCTGAGGCGTGGACACACACACTGCCTCTGTATAGAGGAATATTATTCAGCCATACAAAAGGAGGAGGAATGGATGCATGCTGCACCATGGATGAACCTCGAAAACGTCACGCTGGGTGACGGAAGCCAGACACAGAGGCCACATGTCCTAGGATTCTGTTAGAGGAAGTTTTTGGAACCAGCAAATCCGCTGCGACGGCAGGTTAGCACTTGTCAGAGGCAGAGGGAGATGGAGGAGGGCGTAGGGACTACTTAGCAGGTGTGGCATTTCCTTCTGAACTGCTGAGTTCTGGAACTAGGCAATGGCGATGCTTGCACAACATTGTGGAGGGGCTGCATGTCACGAACAGTCCATCTTACATTTATTTTGCCACGACTGAAAAAGGGATTTGAAATTCTGACCATGTGGAGCTGCAGCAAGCTGGAGTTAATCTTGATTGTCTCTAGCCTCCTAAGTGCCTCTTCTCTAGCACACAGAGCTTTGTTGCCAAATTTCGTATCTTCGGGCTGGAATTGTTAGCCAAGTCGAGACTGTGACTGCAGAGAGAGGAATTGCGCATGTCTCGATCTGTAGTTCCCACAGCAGGGCAAGTGCTGCAGCGCTGGTCCAGGGCAGAGCGCCCGAGTCACTGCGTGGGGCACGCAAGCAAAGGAGGCCAGTGCCCGTGTTAGCTCCCACTCCTTTTCTGGCAGGAAACCTGCAACACTTCATCTTCCTGTTGGCCCTGCCCCTCTCATTACCTAGGCACCTGTGCCCCAGGAGAGGGGGACTTCCTAGAGCCCAGGAAGCACCAGCAGCTCCAGCCTACTGGGACATGTGGGACTCAGAGTGGAAGCCAGGAAGGGGCCTGAGGAACCTGGCAGGGCCTCCTCACCAAGGGCATGACTGGGCTTCACCACGACTGAGGGCGGAACCCAAGCTTGTCCTAGGTCTCTAACAGTCCAGGTAGGTGGTTTCTGATGCTTTTTATCCTCTTTCCCCTACCCCCTGGGGCTGTCCGCCCCTTCAGGTGACCACTTTGAACATCACCAGTGTGCATTCACAATAGAGAAACATTTGTAGAAAAGAGCATGCCAAGACGGGATGGGGTGACAGTGGGGGGAACCTTTCTGGAACATAGACAGAAACACAGAAATTAGCCTGACCCTGTTGACTTAGGCTGTCTGTGATGCTTTAGCAGTACAGGAAATGCAGCCTCTTTTTGACTGTGATTAACAAGGCAAACCCTCCTGTTTCAATGATTTATTTCATTTTATTAAAAGGTAGAATTAGAGAGAGAAAGCACGCATGTGTGATCTATCTACTGATTCACTTCCCAAATGACTGCAGCAGCCAGGACTGGGCCAGGCACAAACCAGGGGCTACAAGCTTTATTTGGGTTCTCCCATGTGGGCACAGGGATCCAAGTACTTGGGTCATCTGCTGCTTTTCCAGGCATGCAAGCAGGGAGGTGGATCAGAAGTGGAGCAGCCGGACTTGAACTGGCGCCTTTATAGGATGCCAGTGCTGCAGGCTACAGCTTAGCACTCTGCACCACAGACAGGGTCAGCTCCCAAACCCTCCTGAACAAATGTTAGATTTCAGCCTTCCCTGCACCAGTAGATAAAAAGGGAATAAAGCAAAAATCATAACAGAGAGGGCCCGGCGCGGTGGCGCAAGTGGCTAAGGTCCTCGCCTTGCACGCCCGGGATCCCATATGGGCGCCGGTTCTAATCCCGGCGGCCCAACTTCCCATCCAGCTCCCTGCTTGTGGCCTGGGAAAGCAGTCAAGGACGGCCCAAAGCCTTGGGACCCTGCACCCGCGTGGGAGACCCGGAAGAGGCTCCTGGCTTCGGATTGGCATAGCATCGGCCGTTGCGCTCACTTGGGGAGTGAATCATCGGACGGAAGATCTTCCTCTCTGTCTCTTCTCTCTGTATATCCGCCTTTCCAATAAAAAAAAAATAATAAAAATAAAAATCTTTAAAAAAAAAAAAACATGACAGAGAACCCCAGGATCTCAAGAGCCCAGTATAGTACCTGGACTAGAGTAACTAACTGCTCAGTACAGTTAAGCAAAGTTATATTGGATGGATAATAGTGCCTAACCCTCATTGCATGTCTCTTCACTAAAACCTCAAGGCTCGAAGCTGAACCCTACACCTGCTTCACCGTTGCTCAGCACTCAACTTTAGCAGAGCCAATTCTGTTAGTGTCCAGCTTTGGTCCCTATTTATCGGAATGATGACATACACTTATTTGCAAGGTGGTTTCTAGATACTTTTAATGAATCATCATGACTCAGTCTACAGATGAGACACCTGAAACACAAAGCCACAACATCACCTGTTTAGGGTCAGACAACTGACAAGCAGCACAACTGGGCTTATGCCCCAGCATCAATATTCTCGACCACCAAATTCTAAGTCCCTTGATTAGCAACAAGCCTTCCCCTTCATCTACAGGCATGTGGCTTGTCTGCATCAGTGCACAGCTGGGGTCAGAGCCAAAGCCTTGCTCATGCCACATGTGCCTAACAAGTGGCTTGAAGCAGAGAGGGGCGTTTCTGCTGGGAGCCTAGTCCTGGAACACCTGTCTGTTGACATGGGTGGGGCCAGGGAAGGTGGAACACAAACCAGGCAGAATTCACCTACCAGGCGGATGAACTTTAATCCACATAATGGGGTTCTGTGGTTTCCTGTGCCCTTCTTCCCCTCTGTTGGGGTTTTCTTTTCCAATTATCTTTATAGTAAGTGTGGTTATAGCTTCAAACCACAAACTGCTTGTACTTTATTGGCAAGTGTTTCATCGCATCATTGCTGCTCTGTGGAACAGATGACACACAGACACAGGGATGCACTCGGCTTTTGCAGGTTACTGGTATGCCTGTGTTGTGCCTTGAGGTATCTAGCCTCAAGCCCTTCTTTGCCTCCTCCCCAAATTCTCCCTGAACAGCCTCTAACTCGAACCCAAGCCTCCGGGCTGTCCTAATCTGTCTTCCCTGTGTGTTTACCACTCCATCTTTCTAAGACCACGTCCTGCCTGCGAGGCAAGGTCAGTGTAATCCCCCATCACTCGGCTGCAGTTGCTGGGGAGCCCTTTTTCCCATGAATTCTCACCATGAACTTCATGCTCATGCCACAGTGGGCAGATTTGCATTTTCCCTTTTTTAAGATTTATTTTTATTGTAAAGTCAGATTTACAGAGAGTAGAGGAGACAGGGAAGATCCTATGTCCGCTGGTTCACTCCCCAAGTGGCCACAATGGCCAGAGCTAAGCCAATCTGATGCCAGGAGCCAGGAGCTTCTTGTGGGTCTTCCATGCAGGAACAGTGTCCAAAGGCCTTGGGCCATCCTCCACTGATTTCCTAGGCCACAAGCGGGGAACTAGAAGTGAAATGGAGCAGCCAGGATATGAATCAGTGTCCATATGGGATCCTGGGGCGTGCAAGGCAAGGACTTTAACCACTAGGCTACTGTATCAAGCTCCACAGATTTTCTAGACCTGCACCCTCTTTGCTTTTGAGCTTCACTCATACTGTTCTCTCCCCTTTTAGTACTTTTGTTCACACCTTGACT